ATGATTACTAAATTATGTGATAGTGAAGCCACATGTCTAATTCCACATTTGAAGTTCACATTACAAAAATTCAGGTAAGCTTTCAAATGATATCTAATTTATGATGACTACTAAAATATGTGATTTGGAAATCAAAGCCGCATGTCTAAATAAATTATGCTCTAAATTTGAAGTTCATATTACAAAAATTGAGGCTCCCGTGAGATTTTGTTTAGGCGCAATACCAAAAATAGCCACCAGGTGAAACTCCACTGAACGCATTTTCCAGACACATTTATACCTTTCTGTCACAATATTACTTTTCTCACAAAATAACCACCAAATATGGAACCTTGAGACTCGGACCCTTCCAACGATATATATAATTGGACAAGATTAGAAACATTCTTGATTAGTATTGTAGTAAATTTTGTAATATGACACTTGGCACCGCCCACTAGGGGGAGGGGCCTGCTAAAAGGATTTAAAATACCATTTCCATGGAAGCACAATGTCTGTTTCAAAATGGTTTATATATGACAGTTAACAGGTTAAATAAGTCTGGATGGCAAACTGAATGTGCTAAGTATCTCGAGGTAATGCGGTATCTGTTGTGACGCTGATTTAATTAAGCGTTTAATAATGAGGCAGCAGGAGGTGAGTGAACAGTGGGGTTCATTGTTCTGTCTGTCTGCTGTAGTGATGAGCTGGGCATGGAGCAGATGCCTGTGAAACGTCACTCAGATGCTGTCTTCACAGACAACTACAGCCGCTACCGCAAACAGATGGCGGCCAAGAAATACCTCAACTCCGTTCTGGCAGGAAAAAGGAGGTACGGCTTGAAAAGAAGTCGAGCATCACTGTTACTGGTGCGATAAAACAGCACAATAATCACATCGAATCACACTGAAGGATCCAGAATATCACAGAGACTACAAGCAAACACCCGGAAAACCTTAGCAATGCGACGCTCATGCGCTAACATTGACCGTGCGTACAGAACGCGCCTCTCTCTAAAGACAGCATGCGATCGCAAATTCTCTTTCGCATCTTATTGCACTTGAATGGTCAAACGCACACACAATTATGCCAAAATGCCAGTCGTGTGGAGTATTCACGTAAACACAGTTGGTTAAGTGTTAAAAAAACAAACAGTAGGGGGTGAAAAATGGATGTTTGTCAGTATATTGGATCTGTGCAGTCAGTCTTAAAGTGACAGCAGCCTAACTACTCTGCCTCAGCCTGTGTCATTAACATTAATCAAACAACAAAAGACAAAATCACTAACTGTTCTCTATTGGATCTTTAATAAGATTCAGTTCAAATCTGACTCATACAGTGAAGACTATTCAGTGTTTTAGTTATAAAAATAAAAAACAATAAAATGTATTATACTGTGGTATAAGATTTTGGTCATATCACCCACGACTAATTTGTTTCCTCTTTTGCAATGTGAATGCATGTCATTTTTCATTATAGAAAATGTATTATCTATTTTGATCTGGTTTAGGTGATGCACTCCTGTTCAAACGCTGCCTCTGCTCTTCGACATGTAAGTGAGTAAATGTCTTGTGGCTACATGGTACTTTTTTAAGTGTATGGCTTTTTAAATGAAGAATTATGGCTTAATAATCAATTTGAAGTCTCTGATTGATCTCTTCTTAATCACATATAGTTGTCCAGTCAAATCTGATGTAATGCAGCTGTTTTCCTGGTGTTGTGTAGGTGATGTGGACGCACAGCTTCAAGATTTCGCCATCATTATATATTCAAGCTTACACAATCTATTACAGCTGAAACTGAGTTAACAGCACTAAACACAACACAAACTGAACGAGTGTGTCAGTGAATCAATCAGTGTGAATGACACGTCTGTTTGCTGTTGGCTGACTAATGCTGTTATGTCTAGAGGAATCTATTTTGACCGCAGTCACTCTTGATAATTGAAATCAAACCAATTAAAATGATCATGTTTGTAAAAACAGTTTTGTCTGCTGCTGTCATTCCTACTGGTTAACTTTATTCTGTGGTCAATTTCACGATATCATCAAATCACCAGAAAAACCTCTGGTGGATGTGATTCTTTAAATCCATTTATAATATGAAAGCTTGATTCTGTCACAGGATTAATAATAATAATAATAATAATAATTACTGTTAATCTTTTAGACTTTAAACTAATGATTCTGACTTTTTTGTTGCAATTCTGAGTCAAAACGTGAGATATACAGTAAACTCAGAAAAAGTCAGAACTGCAAGATGAAAAACAGGGTTAGTATTGTTATTATTGACCAAAAATAGAAACTGATGCTAAAATTAATACTATAGACATTTTTGTAACTTAAAATAAATGTTACAATAAAATAAAATACAATATACTTTACACAAAATATACTTTAAACCCACAATTCTAAAGACAAAAAAGTGAGATAAATAGTCACAGCTGTAATTTTATTTTTTAAAAATTCCAAGTTTCCATACATTTTTCTAGGTTCAATTATGAACAGATTCCACCCTAAGCTTGCTTGCTTGCTTTATTTATTTATTTATGATTGTAACTTATTTTATTATATTTTTTACACAACCAAACATGCCAGGGGCCTGTTTCATAAAACAAGTTTACCAAATAAGCCAGGCTTATTTCAGTTAGTCTGACTTAATTTGAACCAAATCAACTGACAATACGTCAGACTAACTGAAATAAACCTGGCTTATTTGGTAAACTTGTTTTATGAAACAGACCCCAGGAGTGTGTGTATAAATAAATAAATAAATAAATAAAAAGTGCAGAAAAGTATCTTAACAGTTGCATGGTTTGTATTGCTTTCACGCTTTTATGTTTAAATTTTATTTCAAATACTTTTTAATTATCAGTCTTAAATTGTACAAACCATAGGCATTATTATTCAATCATGACCACAGTATCACCATCTATCCAGCAGAAGGCGGCAAATCACCAAATCTCTACGGCTGGTTTTGGAAGAGCATCACTCCACACTATTCATTATATATAGGCTGCACAGTAGGCACATTTTGCAATATCCTGTTTGCGCAAAACTGGGATAAAAATGCTTTTTCAAGACAAAATACTGGGTTTAAACACCATACCAGCAACTTCCTCCAGTAAGGAAGGGATGAGTGGTACAAAATGCCACATTTCCTGTTGTGTCACATGTCTTTGCAGAGTAATCAGGAATCCAGTGCATGCAATCATTTTCACCTAATGACTACCCAAAACACCCTAGCAACTGCCAGAGAAAAATGCCATTCAAATCAATCAGTAGAGGTTTTGAAGCAGTATCTGATGCTTTATTTGGGTCTGGGTCAGTCATACAGACATGCAGCTGCAGGTCAATCTGTGAATCTAACGGTGAGTGGACAGAAAGCAGGACATCCCCTCGGCTCACGCTGACCTTTGACCCTGCAGTGATTAGGCCTGTGCTGCTGCTGATAGTGGTCAGCTCTCACTCATTGAGGGCATTCCTGCAGATAAGAGCCCTGACGCTCTTTGAACTTCTGCTGTGCAGAACAGAGTTCAAACACACGCACAGCTGTTGCAGGTAGGGCTGCTTTGACTTTATTCACTTTCTATTAATGTGCATTTGATGTTTTGAGTGTGTTGACAGACGGTCAGGGAACAGAATATTCTACGCATTATTGATAGGTTGATGACTGACACAATACCAATCAATACTAGTGAAATAAGTCATCTTTGCCTCCTTAAACTGATTTTCTTTTTTTCTTTACATAAAACATGTCATCCACTGATGTCAAATAAAACATATAAATAATATTATAATATTATGTAATATATTTTCTAATAATATATATCGTTATTCTTTATTATAATTATAATTATTATTAATTATTTAAAAT